TTGCCAAACCATCGAACTATCAGATTTAGGAAATAGTGTGTTTGTATTTGTGCACACAATCGTACACTATAAAAACCTGTCCTACATAGATAGCTAGTCCAAAAATGTATTCGCGTTGAATATCATATTACTATTAAAGTTGAAATCACCACATACCTTTCATCATCTAAGGGAAATATTGTTACGAATAGCCTTTTCTTGTTATCATTTTTTCCGCTTCTTGCACCATTTAATTGGAAAGTTTTAAAATGCATATTTAATTTCTTAACAATTCTGTAAATGAACAACGGCTCCTATAGCAAAATTAAAAGCAATCTTAATTAATAAAATATACACAAATATAATTGTTTGATTTGACATTTGAACCTATTTCATTTGACAATGTCGTTAATAGACATATCACGAAAAGCAGAAAGAAGAGTAACCGTCATTAAAATTTGACCCCTGTAGTACATATAATTTTTACTATGGAAGTTGCACCAGCCTGCTATGGACCATCAGTCGCGCCCAAACAGGGAAGTGGAATGTAAGTACATCTTTTAATGCCGGTTACCCGGCATAAGCTTGCACTGGGTACTCGGCAAAAGTAGGATCCGGTGCATCTCTAATTTATAGGCAAATAATATTGTAGACAATTAGTAAGGTGACTTACTTGGTGTATTAGCGCTTCGAACGAAAATTTACGTCACTGGTTTTAGAGGATTTGGAGGACGTGAGGACTCACTTTCAGACTCCGGGTCTGATTCTCCACTGTCTCCCTCCGACGACAGATCTCGATTATCTCCGCGAGAAGACGAGTTCTGATGCGGAGACTCTTCACTGATTTTCTATTAAATAATCGTCTACTTTTTCCATCTCACTATAAAACTTTCCTTCGGATCTACTTCCGAGTAATTATAAACGTTAAATTCCGTAATTTACTCACTTTAACTCTTAACTCGCTCACTTTTTTAGAAAGAGATTTTTTTTAAAGTATTAAACGCGGGAAAATCACAGAACGCTATGACTAGTTGGCAGTTCTACAGTGGTGCCGTACTTTCACAAGAACACTTATGGTGAAGAAAGTGGCGCCCTCCCCAGTGACAAACAGGTACTCTAAATCAAGTTACCAACATTGTCGGATCAAAAAGTATTTTCACATAACATTCTTCATATCGCTGTGTGTTTTTAAGTAAACACAATGAAATAATTTAATTGTGGAAATGTAATAGATATAATTATAACTATAATATTTGTATACTAATGCAGCGAACATCATTTTTTTAAAGATCTATTCTGTGTCATTACGTATTCACCAATAAATAAAATTTAGAATTCTGATGTCAGAAAAAGAAATCTGTTTTTTTGCATGTATAATATGCTTCATAAAAACTAAGTACATAATTCATTATTGTATCAAGTTCATTGTATTAGTTAAAAGCCCTTAGATACCTAATATCACCATGTAGTGGCGGTGCGGTGTAAGAATATCCACTACCCCATATCATCCCGTGAGTGTCTTAAGAGGCGACAGAGAAAAACAAATCAGGAGATGGCCAGCAGTGTCTTCCTAAAGACTAAAAATAAAAAATTGCAGTTGCCAACCCGCATACCAAGAATGATTTTTTATTCACTATTGATTATTACATAATACTTATTGAAATTCATTTTTTTATTTACCACTGGTTTGGAAAATACCTCTGTCCGGGGAAGAACCAGCAAGAAACTTTTTTTTTAAACATTTTTCACTTAACAATAATTTTGTTTATACAATTTTTAAATGAATTTTCATAGAACAAGCATGGTGGCGATCACCTAATTCCCAGGGGTTATTTTCATTCATGTATTCCTTGATATTATAATAACCCTTTTTGTACAGTTTTTCTTTAATAAAACTTTAAAACCTGTTTATTGACAAACTTTGAACATGTTCTGTGATTTTGTTGTAAAAACGTATACATTGCCCCATAAATGAATTACTGATTCTGTGGAGTCTAGTAACTGGCATTACAAGCTTATGTTTATTCCTAGTGTTTAAGGTGTGAACATTCTTATTCTTATTAAAGCTATTTATGTTTTTATGTACATACATTACATTTTCATAAATATATTGCGATGCCAAATTTAATATGTTTATTTCTTTAAATTTAAGTCTGAGGGACTCTTTACAATTTAGGTTATAAATCGCCCGTACGGCTCTCTTTTGCAAAACAAATATAGCTTCAATATCAGTCGCATTACCCCATAGCAAAATTCCATAAGACATTACGCTATGAAAGTAACTAAAATACACTAATCTACTTGTCTCAACATCTGTGAAACTTCTAATTTTCCTTACAGCATATGCTGCAGAACTAATTCTGCTTGCTAATTTAGATATATGGGGTACCACTGAAGTTTCGCGTCAATAGTAATACCAAGAAAAACAGTGATATCCATAAGACTCAACTCCTCCCCATTTAAGAGTACATTGGTATTCGAATGTTTTACATTAGGTATTGTAAATTTAATACATTTTGTCTTTATTGCCGTTTAAGAACAAATTGTTGGCGTTAAACCAATGTACTAATTTCGATAGAGCATTATTTACATCGTCATAATTAATTGACTGTCGTTTGAGTTTGAAAATTAAAGAGGTATCGTCAGCAAATAATACTATATCGTGATTGTCCCCTACAAGATAAGGTAAGTCATTAATATAGATTAATAACAAGAATGGGCCATGAATCGAGCCCTGAGGAACGCCCATTGATACTACCGAGCCGGAGGAACCTTTACCATTGATCACGACTTTTTGAGTTCTGTTATTTAAATATGAAGTAATAAGTCTAAGCGCCAAATTTTTATAATGTTGTAGTTTCCTGATTGTCTTGTCATGATGAACACAATCGAAAGCCTTGGAAAGATCACAGAAAATACCTAAGGCATCTTATGAATTCTCCCAGGCATTAAAAATATATTTCATAAGCTCAACACCGGCTTCAGACGTCGTGTGACCCCTTGTAAAACCAAATTGGTTTTTATGAAGTAATTTATTTGTATTAAAAAAAATTAACAATTGATCCAAAATTATTTTTTCAAAAATTTTACTGAGTTGGTAGTACAGAAATAGGTATAAATTTAGCGGGGTCCAATTTACTACCAGATTTAAATAATGGTATTATTTTACTATACTTCATTAAATCAGGAAACACACCAGAATCGATACAAGTATTAAAAATAATAGAAAGATGAGGTGCAATAAAATCTATTATGGACGCAATAACTGTAACGGAAAGCCCCCACAAATCTGCGGTTTTCTTTACATCAATGGTTTTGAAGTATTTTATAATATTTTACGGTAATATTTTTTCAAATCTAAATTCTCTCATTCTGTTTGAGTAATTACTCTGCGACGGAGAAGTACTCAATGACTATTGTCAAGATAGAAACATTAGTGAAATATTTCTCAAACACCGCTGTGACTTCTTGATTTGATTTAAAAGTTGTAAAGTTGCAGCCTATTTACGTCCCACTGCTGGGCACAGGCCTCCTCTCATTTCTGAGGGTTTTAGAGCAAGGAAATGTCCGCCGCGCTGCCCCAATGCGTGTTGGCGAACTTCACGTCTTCGAAATATTATATATAATAACTAATACTATCAGCACTTAAAATTGCAATTAACAATTTCATTGGTGCCGGCAGGGATCGAACCCAGGGTTGCTCTTGTACTGTGAAGCTAACAGCGAGCGCTAACCATCTGAGCTACCACGGCTAGATGCTTTGATTTAGTCAATTCATTGTTAATTTTTAATTGATAGTTTGAGTTACGAGGTTTGTCTTTACCGGTTTTGCTGTTAATTACACTCCACGTCATTTTAAATTTATTCTTAGCCATCTTAAGTTTATTGCTAATATGTAACAATTAGGCTGTGGAGCAAACTCTTTTAAACATTTTAGAATAACTTTTGACATATTTTTTAAAAGCATTGGAAAGATTATATGATCTTTCATGGTAAAGGTCATATAACCTTTGTCTGCTTTTATGAATTCCTACTGTCGCCCACTCATTAAATGTCTTGCGACTGTTTAACTACAATGCCAAGCGTGGCAACTATGGCAAATATCCTCCCTACAAGGCAATCTATGGGGAGACCTATGTTCCGTAGTGGACTTTTAATAGGATGTAACGGTAACAGGAAGAACATCATTGTTCAAACATTAACAATATTTTTTGTGGTGTAACAATATGTCAGTATTGTACATGTGTCAACATGATGTGTTAAAAAGTAGTTAAATTATAGCCTATACAAATCCCACACCTATGCACAGGCCTCGTTATTTCTGAGAGAGTTATAGTTCTATTTATTATTATTTTGGGGTATCTATAAAGTTTTCTCATCTGGTTGGGCAGTATAAATATATAATTGTAAATGAAAATGGTAAACATACATAAATATCAATAAAATAAAATAAATACATAAAAAATACATAAATATATAAAAACCCAACCAGATGGAAGCCCTCGGCAGGGGAGACCAGACGGCCGAGGGTTAGGGGGAAAGGGAAAGAAACCGGCGGACTATGCGGGCGGTATCGATTATTATTATTATTATTATTTTACTAGCTGACCCGGCGAATTTTGTACCGCCCTACAGTCGATTCTTTAATTATTTTTTTTAATACTTATTCTTCTAGTCGGGCAACCGGTCAGCTACTAAGATAAAAAAGAAAAACGAAAGTTGATAAGTCGACAATTACATTAAGTCAAATAATTAAAATTATAAAACACTATTGACAAGTATTGACATTAATATTGTAGTGTTATGCTACTTACATATCATTTTACACTATTTTAAATTCATTTTTCCGTTCTGTTTTGATTTTCGTTTTGATATTTTGTATCATCTTTATTTCCATAGGATCCTGTAACGTTTTTAAACCATAAGAACACAATAACAAATCATTTTCACTTCGTATTTTCACGCTATCAGCATTTTTTAATTTGGTGTCGATGGAGTCTACCTTTTTCGATCTTTTATTTAGTTCTCCGTAACTCTGCAATTTCGGGCTTTGTGCGCGCTGGTGCGCTACCTTTTTTCCTATAGCAATAATATCTCATTTTTCACTTAAATCTTGCCGTTTCTCTATTACGAGCCTAAAACCAAAATTTGACATGTTTTGACATCGTTGTTTATCTGGCTGTCATGGCAATTTTTATTCAAATTCGCTTCCGGTCTGTTGTTTCTACTTCGATGATTCCACATAAATACTCTTTCCTCTTGGCCATTTACAAAAAATTTGCTTTTAATTTAAATAATTTTCCGTTCTCTTTAAAAAGGTATAAAAGCCGAACAATCGGTCAAGAAACTCAGTCTCGCTTCAGCTTTCTAACTCGAAGCATCTCCTAAAGGCCTTATCCCGGGGCCGCACTGCCCCGGGATCCTGCAAGCCTCTGTCCTGCCTGAAGTCGCCGGGACCCTGCAAGCCTCTGCCCTGCCTGAAGTCGCCGGATCCTGCAAGCTTCTGTCATGTCTGAAGTCGCCGGATCCTGCCAGCCTCTGTCCTGCCTGAAGTCGCCGGATCCTTCAAGCCTCTGTCCTGCCTGAAGTCGCCGGATCCTACAAGCCTCTGTCCTGCCTGAAGTCGCCGGATCCTGCAGGCCACTGTCCTGCCTGAAGTCGCTGGGATCCTGCAAGCCTCTGTCTTGCCTGAAGTCGCCGAATCTTGCAAACCTCTGCATTCACCTGAACTCGTCGCCTAGACACGCCCACGCCTTCACCTATGCTGTGCGTGCTCGCTCCAGGCGCTGCGAGCGCTTATTCCAGGCGCTGTGGGCCTACCACCAGCACAGCCTGTGTATATTCTGTGGGCAGCGAATACCACCACCAAAAGCAGTGTACCACTTGGATCTTCGGCCTCAGCTTCAATACTCATCATTTTTATTCTTTTTTTTTAGAAATAATTGTAAATCACGTCACCCATCTTCACCCTAATACATCAATTTTTTTTTATATAAATCTGTAAACATCTTTTTTTTATATTTTAAATAGATTATTTGTTTTGCCCTACTTTTGTTGTTTTGTTGTTGCTAGGTTAGGTTCTTTTTTGTTTTAAATTGTCGTTTCACGACAATATTTGTACGATACTAACGTCACTAAATTGTTTTGCCTTCCCGGAACCCCTCCACTAACACTTAAACTTTATGGTATGGTATTAAAGTTCAAATTGACTTTTAAGTATTATTACCAATCTTTTGTATGAGAATATAGAAAAGTGTTGCTTTTAGACATTTACAGGCAATTTTTTAAATTTTTCTCTCCGAGAGAACCATCTTCGTACTTCAAGGAATATTATAAAAGAAGAATTAGCGAAATCGGTTTAGTTGCTCTCGAGATTTGCGCTTAGCAACACATTCAGCAATTCATTTTTATGTTATAGATGATATAGCTATAATTAAAAAGCATGTAATAAATAAAAATTTATTAACAACTAAAATCTTTCAGCAACTCTATTAGCAACATTCCTCAAATTGCCATACACCTTTGATGGAGGTGATCCCATAATAAGATTACATATGGCTCTCCTTGCCAGTGCAATATTCTGGTAACTACCTAGAATGTGAATTTTTGAGTCTGCCAAAACTATTCTAGTTTTCGTAACATTCTCTATGGTAAACTTTGTTCTGCCTGCTTTTCCTGCTAATCGACCAATAGCACGACCCAAGTGATCTCCTTGAAGTGTCTTTACATCTTTTACTTCAAAAGATTCTACAAATAAATCATCTAGCCGTAGCAAAGCTAATGCATCTTCAACATCAAAGCCATATATAAACGCCTGAAACAAATATAATTAAATCTTTATAAAATATTACTAACTATACTGGAAGACTGATAAATAACAATATCATTGTTAGATAGTTTATATACTTTAAAAATAATTTTGACTAAATAATCAAAAAAAAATTACCTTCACAAAGTCTGCAGCCTTTTGTAAATTTGCTATATCTTTAGTCTCTGGTCCAACTCTTATTTCTACATTTCGTGTTTTTGTGTTAAACCGTACCTGTAGCAAAAGATGTTCAACTATTGGTGTAAATATCTTGAGCCAGTTCTCTTTTAATGGTGTATATCTGTAAATATATTTATATTTATTAAATTCATAATTAATAGATGCGAGAGATCATTACAATCATGCCAAATGGAAGTCCATAGTGCAAACTACAGATTTGCCATCAAGATGATTGTAGTAGTAGTAATAGTATTTTATCGGATCCATTATCAGATGATGCCTAAAACTGTATTTGTTCATCAATGACAAAGCCCTTTATCTATGAATAAAAAAAAGTAGTTAAATATGTACACTGACAATGGAGGGCAGCATCAACAACTTTACTTTAAAATCCACTTTCCAAATGTGGCAGTAATTGTTTTAATTCAAGATTACTAGCAGTGCTATTATAACTACTAAAAATATTATCGTTAACAACATCACTTAGCTTAAAATACATGGGTTAGAAGTGTTTCATGGCAATAGTCAAATGGCCGATTCCTACCCACTATCTTTATGTTTCACAGTTTTACCTTTAACCAGTAGACTGCTACCACTTTAAAGTTAAAATAAGAGCAATCACTGCTCATCCTTTCCATGGAAGATACAAATTAACTAAACTAAAATAGGAATGGGCAACAGCATCTGATAAAACTTAAAAATAAAAGTAAAAAAACTGTAGTTACCTACCAGATTGGCAACTATGGCAAGTATATAATAAGTTACATAGTAGTAGGCTATAAGAATGAAAATAATAACCTCCCACTAGATGGAGTGACAACTAGCAGTGGGTAGTAGCAGTTTTTTTGAGTAACAAAACGAAACTATCTATTGAATATCAATAGCGGCTTTTGAAACACCTTGTTTTTTTTTTAATTTTGGCCTCAATAGTGTTTCACAACAAGTTTAATTGAAAATGTAGCAAATGAAATGATGATTGATCACGAGAAAGCTTGATTAGCTTGTTTTGTGTTCCCGTTTCGTTAAAGATTAGGTACTGTTATTGAGATTTTAGTGTTAAGATTTATATTGCAATGAAATTTCCTTCACGCTTTATGCAGGCTTAGGACTGGCTGGTGACAAGTTAATTAAGTAACAATTAATACTTAAATATTGAATAAAAAATAATACATTTTATATATACAATTGTATTTTCTTCTTATCTTACTACTAATATTATTATTGTTGCACAAAACAAAATCTACTGTTTTAGTAATCACATCTAAAAACAAACCGTGTCATCAAACACAAAACAAATTTAGACTGGATCAAGGCAATGCAAATTCAAGCAATTCGAAAATATTTTTTATTTAAAAACATGCACACTTACTGTCACAATTCCAAATATCACATTTATCCGAATGTAATAGAAAAGAGGTTCTTAGTATGGCAATTGCCAATGGATCGACTGTGTGCAACTTTCATAACATACACACTGGCAGTGTCAGGTGCGTTATAAAAATCACACAATGGTACATTTTACTTAAAATTACAGAATTAAATCATTATAATAGTGTAACATTATGTAGTGTTACAGCCTTAATCCCATTGCTGTTATAATTAATGGTTAAAAAATCAAATAGCTTTGGTACAATCAAGTGAAAAAGAGTAGTTTTGAGGTTATACCTGTGTGCTGGGACTGCAACTTTTCTCATATTGACTTTACTTTCATTAGGTTCTACATTCTTTTTCGTCCTCTTAACTTTCGGTTTTGCTAGTTTAGCTCTTCCTTGAATTCCATTGTGCTCTTCTACTTCCATTCCATCACCCGATTCAGAGACTGCCCGCCGTTTCACATTCTTCAACTTTATAGTCTTTTTTGCGGGCAAAAAGTCATCGACATTTATATTTTCCACTTCCATTTTTAAAAAGCTTACAACACTATATTATTAGATAAAGATATTGCATTAATTGTGAAATATTTTGTTTTTAAATAAATCGCACATGGTCAACATTACAAATGCACACATAAAGAGGATGTGTCAGCTGTCAGTGTCACTTATCCTTCTTCTTCTTAATAACTGGCTTTACGGCTCTGGGATCCTAGCCCTTCTGAGCCTGAAGTTACAATATATTTTAATAATTATCCTTCATAGTATACTGCTTCACAATATGCTGATGCGTCACATTGTGCAGCCTTTGGGAGATTTTGACGGCAACTTGAGCCAGCAGACAGCTGACGGTTGGCGATGGTATCTCAAGGCGCCTAAGCAGACAGACACTATATTTTGAGAATCACATCACCATCAGAGCACTAGTTTCACAGTTTCCACTAATAGTTCACATGCGCAGACACTTAATACACAAAATCGCACCACTTTTACATATCAAAGTCCACTTCAAATCATTACTTAAACAATAATACATTAGCAGCAAACCGCCGCCGGTCAAGTTCCCGCCAAAACCTGTCACCATGGGGGTGCAACTTAGAACATTATTTTACGAACAAAATGATACGTTTTATGTGCTTCCATCTACACTCCGAAGCGCTAGGCTAGACTTATTTTAATCTCACTAGAGGGCACTTTTATATTAAGTCTATACATACGCAATAATCCACGCGCACTACGCAGTTAGTAGCGGTCACTGGTTACGCTTAAATTGTTATTAATATTTATTGAACATTATTTATCTGTATTTTCAGACAATGTAAAACTGCTAAAATATTATTAGAATACGAAAGTGAATTTCGCCACAACGCAGAAGGTTATAATAGCTCAGGTGGATAATCGGGCAGTCCCGAAATCTAAAGACCCCGGATCGCGTCCAGCAGATATGTTTATTTTTTCCCTTTTTGTCAAGTTCCTTCTTTTGTAAGCGCCGTCTGTTATGCAAAGCACGACACTAAAGAAAATTAAATTTGAGTCGCGCATCTATCTCTAGTATATATACAGTAATCTATGCCTGTCGCTTATCCTTATCACCATGGAGGTTAGAGTATCTCTATGGGTTAGAGAGATCATCCATGCCATGGAGTATAGAGTAGAAGGAGAACCATCTCATATGGGGGCAAAGTTGAAAAAGTGTCCAACTGTATACTGAAAATAGAGGTTCCAAAACCTACCACAATAGCGCTGGCGTCTGAAAAACTACGATATAAACATAGCTGTTGTAGAAGGAGTGAAGTCAGCTGAATTCAAATATTTAAAAAATTTCATGACTAGAGTAGTGAGTAAAATGCCATTATACAAAACCTCAACTATTTACGTGATACAGAACCAAGCGGATTTGTCGGTCCTTGTTTATTTCTCCATCTTATTCTAATTACTTTTGGCGCTTTTTTTTTTAATTTCTACTATGCTACCGCAGCGCTACCCTTATTGGGCGCGTTTTTACGGACATTTATTCATATAAAGAGATGGTCCTCCTTCTACTCTGTACTCCATGCTCCATGCTTATCACTGTCATCTGTCACCTGTCAGTGTGTCAGTTGTTTCATATATGGAGTGTAGAGTAGAAAGAGGACCATCTCTATATATGAGAAGTGTCCCTAAAAACGTGTCCAATAAGGGTGGCGCTGCAGTAGCATAGGATAAATTTAAAAAAAGCGCCAAAAGTAATTAAAATAAGATGGAGAAATAAACAAGGACCGACCAATCCGCTTGTTTTTGTACTACGTAAATAGTTCAGATTTTGTATACTGACATTTTACTAACTTCTCCAATCATGAAAGGAGACGGTCCAAATTTGTATGAAGCGTAGGCCTAGTTTTGTACTAGTATAGAAATAAATTAAAATAAAATATTAAACCACTTTTGATCATTAAAATCCACGAATTTGCCTTAATTTCAGTGGTATTAATATTTTATTCTCACCAAAAAATGCAACACTAATGGCGGATTGATGTCATATTGACGTTAGCTGTCATCTCTGAAATATACTCATATCACCTATAGCCTATCAGGTCGATTTATTATGTAAAATAGCTAAAATGTCTCAAAACTAGTAGGAAAGTAGGGTGAAAAACTTGTATTTTTTGATAAAAACATGAATAAAGTGTATTATAGATTGTGTATGTGCTTTTTTGGTCTTAAAACAACTATTTCGTTCTTGTTGATATTTGCATATCATAAATGCAGTTCAGGAGAAAACAAATGTAAAATGTACTACCTACTTCCAGACAAGAAGATTGTTGAGATAAATCAACGGTGGAGCATCCAGGACTTTTTTTGTTTTACATGGGAAAATGAGGCCTAGGAGTTTTGTTAGTTATACAAAAATTTAGTGCCAGATAGCTCAAAGCCGAGATTATATGTGAATAGCGAGTGACTCCCTTTCTCTACCCTAAAAAATCCACCCTGAGACACTACTTTATTGCACTAATAATAAAGAATATATTTCACTAATTTTACCTTAGAGTGCCTGTTTTAAGGTGGATAAACAGAATAAACCTGAATACTAATTTCTGTTCAGGTATATGTGTCTATCTGGGCTGCTGAAGTGCTAGGGTACAATTATAGATAATATAATTTAGTTGTTATAATATGGTACATTACAGTTGTTACTTTTGTAACAATTCTTTTAATTTTTTTTTTCAAATACAATTCTTTTAAATTCGCATCCTAAATATTCTGCCGTTTCCGGCGTACAATTTCATATAACATGTCCTCAGCGTGTCAGAGTATGCCTTGAGCCTTGACAGACATTTAAAGCCTGGATAATGTCAGAAAAAAGGTGAAAAGTCCTATGAATTATAGAAAGTGAAACATTAGGTCAATCATGTTTTGGATACTTAAGATAATATAAATAAAACAGCTTATTTTTTTATTTTTTATTTATTTATTCAACTTCAAAATCCTCTCTTACTAAAATGCCATCCAGAATTGAGGCCGGTATGGTTATAGAATTTTGATACCGAGCCCAACACAAATACCAGACAACGGTCATTATGTGGGCACAGCAACCCACTATCTGTTGTCCAGAAGTGCAACTGCAATAATAACCTGCAATCATCTCATCCCAACTTGTCCCTTGTCTCGCCAACAGTATATATTATGTATAATAAGCTCTGCCCGAGTGATGGCGAGATTTTATACGGCCTCTTATTAAAACAGAGTCTTGTTGAGATGATATTAATTGGGTCACTACTTATCTGCTACCCAGTCTTCGTTGACACCAAACATACAATATATTGATAGTATTGGCATTAGGGTGCTGGAGCTCATTTTCAAGATTTGAGCCGACAGATAATTCTTGTAATACGTTTGCAAAACATTGTGAACATATTGGTGCATTTTCATCCATCTAGAACAAAACAATCTTATTTTAATAAACTATCTACTATATTGCAGTAGCGCATTTTAAACAGTGCAACATGTTTTAACAGGTGTGTAAAAAATAATAATTATTAATAGACTACAGAGCATGTCATTCAAATACGTTTAATAGCTTAAGAAACATCTTTCTTTAGTACATACCTGCTTACTGATTCAAAATGTGATTCTGTAGAATACAGATGTCCGATATCAACGAAATCAAAATCTCACGTAAATCATTAAGTGCATAAAACAAAAGCAGAGTCCAACAAGTAGTGATCCAAAGTCCAAACAAAAAACCAAATCGCCAAAGAAATCCACAATTAAACGCATTCAGGAGTTCAAAACTTTACAACAGAAACAGAAACAGAAACTTTTTTATTCAATATAGATTAAAAATAATACTTATTGAAATCACTCTTTTGTATAATTACCACTAGTTCGAAAAAAACTCTGTCCTGGGAAGAACCATAAAGAATCCCAGCGGGACTTTTTTTTTAAATAACAGCTTACAATCATATATGTTAGACAAATTAACAACACAACAAATTAGAAATACCTTGCTAGCGATTACCTTAATTCCAGGGGTTATTATCATCTATAAATTCTTTAATATTATAATAACCCCTTTTATACAAACTTAGTTTAATAAATTTTTTGAACTTTGAGCAGGTCATATTTTGTATATTTTCTGGAATTTTGTTGTAAAAGCGTATACATCGCCCCAAGAATAAATTACTGGACTCCAACTTCTAATCTTTTTTACGGCATATGCTGCAGAAACAACCAAGGTCGGAATAAATATAAATATCATTTCACAGAAATGACATTTGACAAATAACCGTGTCTTTTTTACTTTTTCGTGAATGGAAGGGCATCATCTTGTAAAACCATCAAAAACTTGGGATTGCATTTTTATTTTTAGCAAGTTATTTAGTTTGATTTATTCTCTCATTTTATTTTTAACAAGATCCTAGAATTTTTCTCTTTTTTACGGTATACTGTACATAGAGTGGGCCAAAAATGGACCGTCTCCTTTTTTAAATATTTGAATTCAGCTGACTTCACTCCGTTTACAACAGCTATCTTCATATCGTAGTTTTTCAGACGCCAGCGCTATTGTGGTAGGTTTTGGAATCTCTATTTTCAGTAAATAGTAGGACACTTTTTCAACTTTCGCCCCTTATAAAATGGTTCTCCTTGTACTCTACACTCCATAGTTTCATAGTTTGTGGCTTGGAGTATAGAGTAGAAGGAGAACTATCCCATTTGGGGGCAAAGTTGAAAAAATGTTCAACTGTATACTGAAAATACAGTTTCCAAAACCTACCACAATAGTGCTGGCGTTTGAAAACCTACGATATGAATATAGCTGTTGTAGACGGAGTGAAGTCAGCTGAATTCAAATATTTAAAAATTTTCATGACTAGACCGCGCACACTAAAACCGCTTCTCTATGAATTTGTCCAATATCAGGCCTGCGGGAAGAAATTTCAATATGAAATAAGCAGTGCTTTTGTACAAAATATATTTTTTATTTTTCATTAATTATTGTTAAAGAAATAAATAAGTACATATGCCTTATTTACAAAGTATATCTTTTGATAGCGAACATAAACTGCAAACACTTCGTTCGCTTTCTGTAATTCCGACTCCTAATTATCCTCCGTTCGTTTTTAGTCAGTTCACTCAATGTGAGGTTAAGAA